GACGTTTAAGTGACAGTGGTTTTAACTGTTTCAGTAATGGAACAATTTTAGGAAGGATGGGTTAGAGTAGAGCCATCATCATATCATATAGCTTGGATACCTGTGATGAGTGAAAGCTGATCTCCTGATACACACGTAACAGAGTTGTATAGTCTGTGATTCCAACTGCCATAAATGCCATAATTTGAGCGCAGCTCTGTGTACAAATATTAATATTGTGTATCTATGCCTGTAAATCCACTAAGTGAACACGTTCAGAGACCTTTGGAAATGTTCATGAGAAGAGTTACGAGTGGGTTGCTTTTTAAGTGCTAAAATGTTCAAATAATGCATTTGTTCATTCATATTCTGTTCCTGTTCAGATGATAAAGGGTGGCATAGGAAGAGAGACACACCTCCCTCTCATCATAAATCCCTCTTTCTCTCCACAGAAAGCAGAGGGGTTGCTCAGACCACCCAGTTACAGAGAAGTGTAACTGAGTGTGGTTACACAGAGCAATTACGCATACAAATATATATATATATATATATATATATATATATATATATATATATATATATTTCTTCTCTAAACAATAGTAATTGGTGCTAATTTCGGTGAAAAACACATTGCATTTCCAGTCCATCCTGTATTTTGTAAAATTGAATGCTTTTAAAGCTACAGTAGGTAACTTTTACAAACAACAAATATTTTTTGGTGATATTTGCTGAAGCTTTCACTGTATCCTCACAGTAGTACATCAGACATTATGTGTGAAAATATGTATTCAGTACTCAACAACAAACTGCTCAACTGCTGTTGTTAAAACAGAATTGCGGGTGAATCCAAAACACGAGTTGTGACTTTATAAAACTTACTGCTGAAACGGAGACACATACAGAGAGAGACAGTAAGAGGCAGCAGTGACAGTACTATAAAGTAGTAAGCGAAGTCCATATATCTATGCAGTTTGGGTAAAGTGTCATAGTGAGAGCTCAAAAGTACAAAAGCTCTTATGGTGGGGTATGCGGGATAAAGTGGAAAAGTGTTTCCCCTTTAACACAGGGCTGTTTTCGTTTTGACACAAGGTTTTTTACCTTTAGTGTTGAGAACAGGTTATCTGGAACGCTCAAGAGGTCGTCTATGGAGGTAAGTCTGCAGCCGTTAATGAATCTAACAGCCAGTGTAAATTAGGTTAAACAATTAGGTTGAGTAAAAACAGCTATTGGAAAAGTTGCAAGGGCAAGAGATTTGATATAAAGTATCCCTACACAGGAAGGTCTCAGTTCCTGAAGAGCTGCTCCCCTCTGGCCATTTCAGAGCACCGGCAGTACAAAACAAGCTCAACCACAAAATCAGGTGACCTTAGCCACTGGTGCTTGTGTGTCTGCTACTGTATGTGCGTGTATGCAGGTCTTTGCACAGTGGGTGCTGGTACATTTAGCACAGATGATTCTGATTCGGGCACTGCGTGTGGCAGAAGGACAAACATACAGACTACAAGTGGGGGGCGGGGGTGCATCGGTGTGTGAGTGTGTATGAATGTTAGTTTCTGTTCGATGGACTTTGCCATCACTGAGTGAATGTGTGTGAAAGGGTGAATGTGGCACGTAGTGTAAAAGAGCTTTGAGTGGTCGGAAGACTAGAAAGGCGTTATACAAGTACAGGTCCATTTACCATTTACCAAGTGACTGAACCGCTTTCTCTCTGTCCTCTTCTCCGTTTGTCCCCCACTCTCTCCCTCCCTCCCTTAATAGGATCCTTGGTGTGTGTGTGTGTGTGGGGAGGTAGAGCTGTGTAGAGGTCAATAGCTCCCATCTGTCACAGAGGAAGCTGTGTGGTCTATGACTGTCCTGCTCTCCTTAACAGCATTCACTCTCTCCAGAGACCATCTTCAGCCCAACTCTCAGCCTCCACACTAAATAAACTGCTATAACTAAATCCTGATGGTGAGCCAGTGTGACAAGAGAATATCCAGTCATTTGATTGTAGTTTGAATATTTATTATGAACAGATCATATCTGACAACCAACTGACAGCACTGTCATTAGGCAACATGTTTACTGTTACACAAACACTTCCCACAAAAATAACAAGTAAGAAAAAAAGCCTTGCTAACTTTCTTTCCTTTAGCCTCCTGCTGATTTGCCAGTGGAAAGCTTTTAATGTGAAACACCATCAGGACCAAAGCTTCCTCAGCTGTGTACTGTTCTTTTGCCATCTTGCCTTTGTTTATGATATTGAAGATTCAGAACGCTTGGAAGAAACGCTTGGAAGGCTGAACTGTACACCAAAGAGCTGTAACATACACATAATAATATTATACAGCCCCATACCAACAAACTGTGATGCACTGTGTGTTCTGACCCCTTTCTATCAGAACCAGCATTAACTGTTTCATCAGTTTGAGCTACAGTAGCTCGTCTGTTGGATTGGACCACACGGGTCAGCCTTCACTCCCCACGTACATCAGTGAGCCTTGGCCCTCCATGACCCTGTCTCTGGTTCACCGCTTTTCCTTCCTTGGAGCACTTTTGATAGGTACTGACCTCTGCAGACCAGGAACACCCCACAAGAGCTGCATGTTTGGAGATGCTCTGATCCAATCGTCTAGTCATCACAATGTGGCCCTTGTCAAAGTCGCTCAAATACTCACGCTGCCCATTTTTCCTGCTTCTAACACATCAACTTTGAGGACAAAATGTTCACATGCTGCCTGATATATCTCACCCACTGACAAGAGCCATGATAACCAGATAATCAGTGTTATTCACCTGTCAGTGCTCACAATGTTATGGCTGATCGTTGCAGATGTAAATGGTTGCAATCTACAACTTCACTGCTAGATGCCACTGAATCCTACACACTGGATAGCATGTGGATAGCATCAACGGTTCAAAAGTTCTAAAATATTTTATAATAAAAGCTATTTTTAGCTGTGCGGCAGTGTAGGTTTTTTTTAGTAAAGGGTAAAATAAGCCTGATATCTGAAAGTAAAGACTGGAACGTAGAAGTGTACTACTGTAAACTCCAAACCCCAGAGATTCAGCTAGAAGCTACAAATGTACCCTGAACTGAACACCACCTTTAAAAAGCTGTACTCAACACACATGTTGAGCCAACCAGTTTAGCACAAGGCACAGCTTGGTTGGGGCAGGAGATCATCGCAGGTTGGCGACCCAACTTGCTACCGAGCAAGACCACAGAAGTAGGACTCTGCTGCTGCGAGGCCACAGTGGAAACTGATGTGTTCACAGTTTGGCCTTGAGCTACATACAGGCAGAGTGTGTAATTGTCTCTAAGAGCAGTGATTTGCAGTTCCTCTGAGTGTACACAATGTGAATAACCGGCTAGAACAGCTAGGGTGCTCGCACACCGAGTACTGTGTATGTGTGTGTCCTCTTGCTGAAGTAAAAAAGACATTTACAGGACACTGTGACCCCAGCCAGGCATATCCACCAATCACTGCAGACTGCAGCAGATTACAGCAAACCAAGACTGGTTAGATGGGGGGGGGGCTGCTGAGGGTAAGAGAGAGAGAGAGAGAGAGAGAGTGTGAGAGTTAGAAAGCCACTGAGCATAAATAGAGGTGCGATGCTCTGAAGGTGACAGAGGACAGAAATTAATGGACAGTGACAAGAACCAAAAGAAGGGGATGGGGATAAGATAGAAAAAGATGGAAAGGAAGTGACACAAGGACAGGAAGACACACAGTCCAACTGACTCTTCTGACGTCTCGCCCCTTTTTGTTCTGTGCTCCAATAACAGTAAAGCAAGGCTCGGTCAGAACCTCAGTCAACTTCAACTTAGATATGCTATGTGGTAGGCTAATCTATTTAAATACACATCCACATTTTTAGATGGTTAAAAGAAAAAAGCTACATATATAGTGGACCTGTACTTGTATAACGCCTTTCTAGTCTTCAAACCACTCAAAGCGCTTTTACACTACGTGCCACATTCACCCTTTCACACACATTCACTCAGTGATGGCAAAGCCCATTAAACAGAAACTAACTCATTCATACACATACAGAAACTGATGCACAGCATCGGGAGCAATTCTGGGTTCAGTATCTTGCTCAAGGATACTTTGACATGTGGCAGGAGGATTGAACCAACAACCTTCCGATTAGTGGACGACCCGCTCTGCCTCTGAGCCACAGCTGCCCGCCCATTATTTCCTGCTACAGATAGGTCAAAACTGTGCAGTCAATGAGAGCAGTTCAACTCCATAATGCCAAACTTGTGGCTTCAAAACAGGGGTCCATATCTACCCCCTTATGTCATGAGAGAGAATCATCGGAGTCATGTGAATTACACTGTGACCCCATTTCACGCTCACTCTTGTTCGTCACCCTGTCTTGTTTATTCACGTGGTGTTATTCTAATGCAGAGTTTCTGTTGGGTTAAGTGACTCTTACCCTTTCTCCAGGCAGAGCTTACTGCTTTTTAAACCATCACATACAGCTTCTAGGGTCACCCACACTTAAGGAATTAGAGGAGCACTAATGCAAGTACTAACAATTAAAGTGGAAGCAATCTAATGTTAACACAAGACAAATGATGCTTCTCCATACTCTTGTCATTACCATACATGGTTTACATAGCATGATATTTGCAAACTGGAGACATGGCTGCAGAGACAGTATCAGTGCGATGGAGTAATTCAGTACTAGTAATATGGCTATACTGTGAAGAGCACTAAGATACAAAACTATTTGTTATTTAGATTGCAACCAGGAGCAACAGATACACTGCCTGTACCTATAGTTTACTATCTAAACAAATTGCATTTAGTGCAAAGTTACTATTTAAGGAGTTTAAGGAGTCTCATTCCAGGGACCTGGGAATGAATTTCTACAACTATTTTCACGTATGTTCTCCACCAGTTGTAAACAGACGTTGATGTGTAAAATAGAGTTCACCTTTAAAGTTAAGACTTGTAACCAGAATAATGAATTGGTCCCATTTGCTGGGCTGGTTTCCGTTTCCCAGTCCCTGTGAGCAGCAGTCTTACCTGTCTGCCTCCTCTCTGTTGCCCTGTTTCTCAGAAAGCTCCTGATCCAGGGAGGAGGAGGTACTCCCCTCTCGGCTGACCCCGCTGTTACGTCCCGGACTGTTGTCAGCTGACGCTCTCCCTCCTCCGCCTGCAGGACGGGGATTGGTGGCATCAGTGTGCTGCTTCAGAGTCTGCAGCTTGGCCAGGGGGATGATGTCGCAGGCCTGGGGTCGGTGCCATACTGTGCGCTGGGTGGAGGCGTTGTAGTAGTAGAAGCGCGAAGTGTTGGGGTCAAACAGCTCCCACCACTGGTTGTCGCCAGTTCGCTTGATGCAAACGCCCTGCGGAGGGTCCCACACGCACTCACCCGTCAGCAGGTTGGCGTACATACGCTCCCGCGTGCGCGGCTCGATGATCTCCACCCACTCCAACCTGCAGGGAGAGAGTATGGAATGAGCCTTTTAGCAAATTGGCCATGAAATAAACTGACTGTGAACTCAACTGGAGGTCCACCTCTGCCTGCAACCTCTGAGCAGTCAGAAGTAAACAAACATAACAACTCGAAAAAGAAGCAGGAGCACTTTTGATCAACATTTCAGCAACAACAGGCCTTCTCTAGAGCTCAAAAGAGAAGCAGGAATTTATTATTCCCCCTATAGCCAAGAGCATGACAGTTGCGTTGGAAGAGTATGGATGGAACAGTGTTGTGATTATCCTTGATCCTTGATTTTATTAGGGCACCTAATAAGATTTTCTTTTATGTACACACTTATGTGTAGAAGAGCTGCATGTAAGTAACTTCCTTCATTTATCCAGCTCTCATTTTCAGAAAGGCTACAGTTGTACAGTGTATAAATTATTTATCACATTCAATTTCATACAATGTCATTGTATACAGTACAAACTGCACCAAAATTTGCAATACTTACATAATCCCACTGTGATGACATCCAAAGCTTATGAATTGTTATGGGTTTTAGAGCCAGCACTGCAAATACTGCATGCAGTGAGTTTTCACAAGATTATAATGTCATGTGTGTATGTTCAAAGATGCCACCAGATATCACAGCAGCAACTCAGACCAAAAGAACGACCAGACTCATCAGACAAAACGATTCATTTTACCAAGCAGATAACTGTAAAACACGCTTCAAAGTGAGGGGAGTATAGGGAATAGTTGTTTGCTCCTACATTATATCTTTCTTTTATTTCTTAATACTAAGAATATAAAGTGCATCGCTTCCTGTTCGCTTCCACATCTTATGCTTGTTTCAGCCCAGATTCTGAAGTGAACAATTACACAACACAAGACAACAGAACAAACGTATTTTGTTCAGTAACCGAAGCAACAGAAGAGAAGTGCACAGCAGGTTGTTAATGGAGGACAACATTACACAATTGCAGAGGGATTAGACAGAGCTAGCACATAATATGAATAATAAAATGGCAGCCCACTCACATAGCGGTCTGCTGCTGCACATGCCTGCACATACACACACACACACACACACACACACACACACACACACACACACACACACACACACACACACACACACACACACACACACACACACACACACACACACACACACACACACACACACACACACACACACACACACACACACACACACACACGTCTTTAGCTTTAATGCAGCTGTTTGTATTCCAGAAGGAAGAGGGGAGGCTTTAGTATGACTCACACACACCTACGCAGCAAAACATAGACATATTTATATGCCAAAATACACAAACAAACACACACACACACCACGCAGCAGCCTGCATGTTTGCTGGATTCAGACTACTGTGTGCTTAAAGCCTTCAGAGCAGTTGTTGGTGGATAAGAGGTCAATCAATAATATCTGTGGAGCAGGCGGAGAGTGGGTGGGTATCTGTATGTCAGTTCAACGGAGTTTAATAGAGCAGGATGCAGCAACAGTGCAGGATGAGGTGATGCTGACAAAGACTTAAGCACCAGTCATTTGGCAGGATTTTGGAAAATGTCCCAGAAGCAGCGCACACTCAGGTGATAAGCAGATTTTATTCTCATAAAATCCCAAACCAACAATGTCTCCTAACAAGTATTGTGTGTGTATCAAAGCCTATATCTTCTTCCTCTGTGCCATAGAGCTCCACTGTTTTCCAAAAACACATCAATGAGCCACACTGTTGCATTGAGTGACATGTTCCTTCATTAGCACAAACACACACATTTTATTTTAACTAATTTCCACAAAGACCATCGTGCTGCCTCAAATACTCACTAGAGCACCAAATGTGGACTAATCCACAGCTGAAAGTAATCCAGTTTGTTGCAAAGAAATATTGGTTTTCAGTTTATAAAATCATTGTGCCATTTACAGACACACATTCAGTCTTGTATTTGGGGTCATTCAAAGTTCTGTAATATACAAAATATACAGATACCCAGGCTATCGATAGTAGGGCTGTACTATACTTAAATACAATTTTGAGGTACCTGTACTTGAGTATTTCCATTTTATGCTACTATATTTTGGAGGCCTGTATGTACCCTTTACTGCACTTATTTAATAACTTTAGCTAATTCATACATTTTGATGCATTACTATAGGTTAAGCTGTAATAAATCATGGACTGGCTTTTAGTGGTTGTTGAGAACTTGGTGAAAATAAAAGGCTGCAGACAAATGGTGAGCTGGCCTTCTTGCTATGTCTGGTGTTGTTGCACTTACCTGATGTTTGTGTGTGTTAGCAAAAACTCATTAGTTTATAGTTTCATTAGTATTTAGTTTTTATTATAAGTAATGTAATCATAACAAATGTACAGCGGTCCATATTTACCACAGTGGGATTGCAATTGGGCACGCCAAATCGCAACAAACAGAGGAAGTCCAACTGGTGGCAGGCGTAAAAAATAATCTTCTCACTGATAGTCTTGTTTATCATATTGATGCATCAGTATTGAATTGAGACTGTTTAACCCTAACCCTGAAGATTCTGAATGCAGGACTTTTTACTTCTAACATATCGAACATATTTTTGTGCTTGAGCAGAACTTGCCTGGGTCCAGACCTAGATCCATCTAGTGTTGGCCTCACAAAGGGGTGTTTCCTTGGTAGTAATTGTACAGTAGTTACATACATTAAAAACACAAAAAGTGCCACAATGATGGTGAAAAGTGTGTATGAGGTGGACACAGCTGTACAGGTTGTTACAAATGAAAATGCAAATCTTTTAGAAAGTTATCATGGTGGTAATTATCTGATCTTTTGTTGCTGCAGTCACAAGGTATTTTCTATCATCATCTGTCCGTTATTCTGACACATAATCACTGAGGGTGGTCTGCCACAACGTCAAGTAATTCACATGTAACACTGTTAACCAGATGTAGACCACCTGTTCCTGTCCAGTTGGTGGCGAGCGTGCATATTAATCAGCTATTGGCCAGCAGTATTTGATCTCACATGCATGACCCTGTTGTGTAGCTAGCTTTAGCCATCGCATTGGGAGGCTGTATTACTACACAAAATGTGACGACAGCTGACAGTCACAAGTTTCTTTAGAAAGCCCAATAATCATTATGTGGTTGATACATGAGGTGATAAAACAGTTATCATCCAGCAGCAGCTAATGTTACAGAGGAAGCAAGTGGCAGCAAGGAGGTAAAAAATGATTCATGAAAGTGAACGCACAGTCGGTGTCTGTTGTTCTTTTCTCTCTATGCCCTTATAAATGCATCATCCAAAGCTCTGTATATTAAATGTGATTGAGATCAAGTTGTTCTCTAAACTTAAACGCTTTTAAATAGGCTATGTGTCTCAGACCTTAGTTCAGATATGAACAAAATCTGTGCACCAATCTGAGAGAAGCAGGCTTCTCCAACATCCACAGACACTGACAATCCATCCATTCTGAATGCACAGGATTTACAGCTGCTGAGTGGCTTATTTTACAGAGAAATCAGTGACTGAGGTGTGGCTGAAGTGTATCAGAATCCGATGATCCACTCAGACCTGAGCAATACCGACAGCATAGCTTAACGGCTACATCCTCTCCTCTTCCTCAGTATCGACCTCAGACCTGAAAGCTGATCTATCACAGAGGGACTTTGTGCAACCACTGCCAAACAGTCCTTTTCAATGCCCATGATGCACCAGCCCCTATAGGATGATCAGTCAGCAATGCAAGACAGTACATTAGAAGCTAAATTCTTGGTCTCTGTATACTTTTTCTTGTTTTGGAGGAGGAGCAAATTTGAGGAACACAATACAGACCGAAGGTTTAAAGGATCATTTAACTTTACTTTAACTTAAAATGTGTTTGTATTCTTCCAGCAGTTATAATAACATTGTACTCACTTAATTTATTACTGAGATCTGAGAACATGTTGACATCACCACAACAGAGTTTAACAGAGAACAAACACAAGCAGTCTGAAAGTCAGGTTGGACCAACCAACCGTTTATCCAGATGTGCGCTGGACCCCTTGTGATGAGCTGACATGTAATTTGTAGCTCCACCTGTACAAAGCCTCATTCAAGTCATTTAGCTTGTTGATGGCTATTTTCAAATGGATCCCTTGACCTCTGACCTCAAGATATCTGAATGAAAATGGGTTTATACGGGCATGTATCCCCTTTGCAGACATGCTCACTTTGCTCATCCCATGCAGTTTTAGTTAAAAAAAATATGTGGTATAAATGTGTTATTTTTATTTGTTTGTATTACTTTATTAACACCACAAGTCACAGCAGCAATTACGTGAAATAAATAAATACAGATATAAAAAAACTACTGCTGTCAGTTAAGCGCGTTATTAACGGCGTTAACCCAAACCCATTTTAATGGAGTAATTTCTTTTATCGCGAGATTAACGTTTGTTTAACTTTGTAGTTTTATTTCACATGCTGTTGCAACAACTAGTAACGTTAGAAAAACTACAACACCACACCGGATCTAGCTAGACCAGAAACAAAACAACAGGCACGCCGCACACACTTGTTTAAGAGTAGTAGACGTTACGTTTTGAGTGGATGGCGAGCGCGAGACGCCGAAATGGATGCCAATAATATTCTGAATGGAAAATTTACTTTTAAAAAGTTGCCAAATGGTTCCATTGACAAGACCAGAGTGATCTGTGTGTTTTGTCGTTGTGAGCTATCATCGCAGCACGTCCAGTCTGAAATACCACTTGATGGCCAAGCACACAGCTGATCCAAATTCTCCGCCCCCTCGTCAAAGCCAGGCGACAATGGATGACTTTTCAATAAAAACAACATTTGCACAAAGCAAGCCGATCCACTTTTCCCTGTTGCATTAAAATGAGAAAAAATAATGGGACAAAAAGAAATCAAGGGACATTTAGAATAGATAAAAATGTGCGATTAATTGCGAGTTAACTATGACATTAATTTTTTTTTGGAGGGGGGGCTTTTTTTGGGGGGG